GATTTTTTTTTTTGAATTTTCTTTTCAAGTTAGAATTTTTCTGCGAATTCTATGTTTTTATTTTGTTTCTTTCTTACGCGCGAATATATACAAAAATCCGGACTTTACGATACAATAAATAAAAAAAATTGAATTTTGATATGTTATCAAGCCACAAATTTCGTCAGATTCGTAAATTGAGATGCTGAATCAATGATAAAAGTATATAAAATCTCCAAGTTTTAGTCCAAAATCTGAAAGCTTATTATTACATTACATGCTAGCAAAACTTTTTGGCTCTGTTTGTCACTTCCCATCAAGAGTTAGAAAAGGAGAAAACGTAATGAGCAAAACTACTGGAGACTAAACTCAAAAGTCAAAACCCCAAAAAAAGCCTCTTTTATTCTTGCAACAATTTTAGTTCTATAGAGAGATGGAATCTTCTTCTGTAGCAGAAGACAGATTACATCTCTGTCTCTTTGTCGAAGATGTCCCAACCATCTTCCAGAAGCTCTTTATGTTTGTTGTCTTTTCTCTCGTTAACCAAAGCTTTCTTCGGGCTCTTGTTGTTGTTGTTGCCTGAGGCTTCTGGTGTTTCAACAGGTGGCTCTAAAGGCTTCTCCAGCAATACGCTCTTCATGGATGATCCAGACGACGCCAGTTTACAACTAGTCTGGCTTGAAGTGATTGATAGGCTCAATGGCACTCGGTTGTCGAATTTCTCCTTCAAGATTCGGATGTCTTGACAGATCACAGAGATTTCTCCTCTGCTCAGGCAAGTAATCAAGACGAGCAAAAACTATGTAAGATCACTTTAACAGACAATATTCACCATATAACAAAGAGCATTTACTCTAACAGCAACAATATCAACAATGTAAGAGGACTTACTGTAAGGAATCGACAGTCCGACCACGATCCATGAGGAACTCTCGAAGCTGCAGACAGAAAACAAGATATATGTTAAGAAATTGTGACTTCAGATTCATTTATTCATGGCGATCTAGAAGTAGTAATGTTACCTTTGAATTTTCCTCAGCCTCCTGCTGTAAAAGCTTTGATTCTTGGACAACTTTATCCATGATCACTTCTTGTTCAGCAAGTGCTTTCCGTGCAGAACCTTCTTTTTCTTGCTTTATTTGCTCAGCGGTATTTTTTATCTCGAGTGCTGCTGCTAGTCTTGTTTCAAGAACTCCACGCATCTAAAAGTAAAAAAGAAACACAATCAACTAAATCTTACAGTGTGAAACAGCAAAAGTCAACAGAAATATTGAGCAAATCAAGTTGCTACTAAAGACCTCATCAAGAACAGCAAGAGATTTATCTCGTTCTTCTGATAAGCTGAGTAAGCGATTTTCAAGCTCATTTACTTCAGTGGTCAAAATTGACCTCTCTCCATACACTTCTCCAGCATCCTGTAAACAGAAAAGATGATTAGTTCCCCACTATAAATATTGAAGCACAATAACAAATACGTATTAGCACATCATTAGTAAGATAAAGTCACCATGTCATTTGCCTCCTTCGCATGTGCAAGCATCTTCTTCAGCTCCTCAACCTTGACAAGGGTATCAAAGCCTCCTCTAGTAGCATCTTCCTTCACCTTTTCAGCATCCTTCTCTTGAGATTCGACTTCTCTCATCAGATTCATGATCGATTCCATCACAGTGAACAAGGTTTTCTACATCATTACAAAATAAAGAAATAAGAATGATATAAAATGGCTTCGGAAACACTCCTACACATAACCCCCAACATATACACTAGCATACCTTGTTACTTTTGGCATCTTCGATGATCCGTTCAAGATGATCAATGTTGCATCCCTGGGTTGATCTGCTAACAACAGAGCTAAAAGCACCACACAGCTCGGCGTCATCATTTTCAATGGTGAAGGAATCATTTGATGTCTCGTCCACGAGATTTGAACCACTCAACTCTGCAGCACTATTTTCACCAGCCAATGAACCACTCAACTCTGCAGCACTCTTTTCACCAGCCAATGAACRACTCAACTCTGCAGCACTYTTTTCACCAGCCAATGAACRACTCAACTCTGCAGCACTATTTTCACCAGCCAATGAACTACTCAACTCTGCAGCACTATTTTCACCAGCCAATGAACTACTCAACTCTGCAGCACTATTTTCACCAGCCAATGAACCACTTGACGTCTCTTTCACATCATCTAAACTTCCAAATCTAAATTGCAAACGAGATGATTCCTGTGTAATTGTTGAATTGTCTGCAGGATAAACCACCTTATGCACAGCATCTTCTGAAACTGCGCTTGTGCTTGACTCCGCTTTATTACCTATAATGTGAAAATCAACAGTCTGGCAACCATCTCTAGTCAATTTGGTTCCCACCTGAACGAAGGCAGGGGGATCTGAGGAAACCACTCCCGACTCAACCGATCCGCCCAAACTGATCTTTGCTTTGCTCTGAATATTGAGATCACCAAATTGGATCACATTTGTCAACTGGTTCCTATTAGAAAGCAAATTAGTAATTGGGGCCCTTGTTTCATGGTCACAATCAACAGTAAGAGGATTAGTTCCTGATGAAGAAGCACCCATCTCTGATCCAGTCAATGTGCCATTTTGCATACCACGTTCTACTGCATTTCCGACAGCCATTTCATCAGCATATATACTCAAGCACTGTAATTAAAAAGAGAATGATGCTACTATATGTGAAACAAGTAACCTCAAACTTCAAATGTAAAAGTCTGAGTATCAGAACAAAAACATTTAATATTATCCATAGAAAAGAACAACAACTACCTTTGTTATCTGGCACATTAGCGGGTGTCTTGTTCCCAGGTTGTGTAGAATTATCAGACAGAGTAGGGTAAAACTTAGGAACAATCTCTGAAATAACTACAGCTGCAGCTTCATTAGCGTCCTTTGGGTGCTCAATAGCAACAGCTTTTAAAAGCCTTGCATCAACCTGTAGAAAATTGTATTGTTTAATGTGGTCTTAATAGGATTAAAAACAATATAAGTTGGTTCCAAAACACCAACAGAACATGATCCAGAACCTAGAAGTTAGCTTAACATCTGGGACGTGAGATTACTTGATCAGTCATCGC